TTTATGTTCAGAAATTTGTGAATTATGCAGATATTCACAAATCACACCATCCTGATGCTTAGCGGTCTACCACTGTGCATTTTACTAGGAGTTTTCTTCTTCGTACAGCTTTTCTGTAGAATTGTTTACCACCGGAGATTTTTCCGGACCGATATGACTTAGGTACCTTCAAGAAAAGAGCTTACTCACCTGCAATTCCCTTGGTGTTGTGGTTGTTCATAAGCGGCGGTAGTCACTTACAAGGTTACAAGTCAAATCTGTGAGCCGCATGCTCGTTTGCCCCCTCTTCTATATAAAAAAAAATATACATACCTATGTTTTATTGGTAAATCCATTAAATTGCAACGGCTTAAGCTCTACTAATCACTTGACGGCTTCTCTAATACTCATTTGATTCTAATAAGAAATACTAAAAGAGAAAAATTACTTGTTACTCATAGAAGTGACGCAAAAAAAGAAGAATCTCGTTTTGTACGTGGTAGAGCCTGCTGCAGCTATATTAGTAGTATAATTGTAGCACGAATGGGTCGGCTGGATCGGGGAAGGACTACGCTCTCACATAATACTAGCGTAAAATAGCAGCTTAACACTGCTGTGTTTCGTATGGTGAGTGTAGAGAACCGGAGACCCTTTTTACTGGAAAAGAGGCATTCTATCTTAGTCCTCACGGGTGACAACGCATCTGTATTTTGATTCGCAAACGAGGATAGATGTAGATGTCTATGGGCCACAGCAACCACTTACCATCAGGTGGACTGTGTGCTCGTTTGTCACCCTATCCTATAAAAAAAATCTCTTTGTTATAGCCTATATACATAATACGTATCATTGTGCCTAGGACTCCTCTTATTTCTGAGAAGGTTTTAGCGCTAGGAAATATCCACCGCGCTGCCCCAATGCGTGTCGGCGAACTTTACATGTCTTCTAAATATTTTAACAAATTTTACTGGTGGCGTCCGAGATCAAACCTAGGTTGCTCCCGCACTTGTTATTTGCAGCGTGAGTTTAGTCACTGAACAGCCCTATTTTTCTGGCTGCATGTAGCTGGCACAGAGATTTTGCTAACAGCACTTATTTTCAAAATGCCTCCCCCTAAAATCTGCCTCCCGAGGCTATGACTGCCCCGGCCCCCCTTTGCTACGCCTAATTTAATACTTCTTCACTTGACTGCCTCGTTGGTTGAGTGGTCATAAACGCGGTTGCTGATCATGAGGTCTCGGGTTTGAATCCCGGGTCGGGCAAAAAAAAACAGTTATTGAGCATTTCTATCAAGAAATTTTCAGTAGCTGCCCGGAGTCAGGAAGTTGGCGGTGTCTCATGCCCGTGCCTCAGAAAGCACGTAAAGCCGTTGGTCCTGCGCCTGATCTCTCTACGGTTGCGTCGGATAACCGTTCCATCGGACTATGAGAGTGAGGGAATAGAGAGTGCACCTGTGCTTGTGCATACACTTGGGCACTATAATCTAGTCCTACGCAGATGGATAGTATCCTTGATACTGGCTGCCACGACCGTAATTTGGCCTGGAGGACATTATAATTATACTTCTTAACCTACACTACAAATTTTCATACCTCTATCCACTACATCTATTTGTTTGAAGTTAACTCGGTACGCGCTCCGCATGTGATTTATATCATTAGACACGCTTCCTGCCTTACACTACTTGTGCTATTATCTATACTGTGCTTATACGCAATGACTTAGACGGTTTCGAATAAAGACTGTAATTCCCAGCACTAATAAGTAGTAGAGTTTCATTCAGTTACTAGCGGTCCGCCCCGGCTTCGCACGGTTGATTTCTGGATCTCGTCAACAGTGCAATAAATCTAAATAGCGCCATATTATTGGAACTAATCCAGATGAAGCCGCTGCGGGACGCTAGTTACAAAATAAAAGAAATAACACACATAAATAAAATCAATACAATGATAAATGTTTATTTATTAAATGTCAATTTTAACAGTGTATCAGTGGCCGCGGGACTTGCAAGTACTGACCAAGTGTTTACAGATATAATTGATTTCAATATGGTGTAGGTTAAAGATATTGAGGATATCCGCGATAGAACCAGAGTAACCGAAATAGTCCAACGGGTTAGTAAGCTGAAGTGTCCATGGGCCAGTCATATAGCTGGAAGAACAGACAACCGATGACAAAAAAGGTTCTCGAGTGGTTTTATAAAACTGTTTTATCTATGTGCTCACAGGTGTCAGCGCATCTGTAACTTTGTTGTTTGACGTAGGAGCATTGAATTCAGTACTTACTTTTAGTGGTTTAAGATATTTATTTCTCAAAAGAATTATATTTCAATTACATAAGAAATGTTCACAATGTTACACAGCTTAATTCAAACGGCACGACACACAAGCAACGTGACAGCAAAATAAAATTACACAGTTTTCTTTATAATCTAAAGTAAAAAAATGTAAAAAAAAAAGTTTTAAGTACAAAGTAAAATGATAAAAGTAGAATACAAGGATTAAAATTAGCATTCATTTACACTATTTTGTTCGACCGCAAAGTGCAAAAATATTCATATAACGACACTATGCTTCGCTTAATCGAATTGACGTTGAACTATCGAACAATAGATATATATATATTATATACTTATATTTATATATATATAAATACTTACTTTTTTATAGAATAAGGGTGATAAACGAGCACACAGTCCACCTGATGGTAAGTGGTTGCTGTGGCCCATAGACATCTACATCTATCTTCGTTTGTGAATTAAAATGCAGATGCGTTGTTAGCCGTGAGGACTAAGATAGAATGCCTCTTTTCCAGTAAAAAGGATCTCCAGATCTCTACACTCACCATACGAAACACAGCAGCATTAAGCTGCTATTTTACGCTGGTATTCTGTGAGAGCGTGGTCCTTCCCGGTCGAGCCGACCCATTCGTGCTTCACATTGAAAAGCAATAGCATACTGGCAGTGACACGACAAGTGCGTAACAAATTACCTCCCGCGCGTGCGCCGAAATTACTTCTAGTGCGCGCCATCATGACCTTGATGTGAAGTAATTTTACGTAAAAACTCGGTTTTTATTGAATTATAATAAAAATAAACTACATTTTTAATTAAAAAATAAAACAAAATGTTACAAATTACATAGAGTCAATCCTGGGTCGAAAATCATCCTTTTATAAAATTTCAATGACCTAGCGAAGGCAGTTACTCTGAATCAATCCAAATAATATTGAACATGAGTTAATTTGATTTCTAAAGGCACCTTTTACGGACTATTAGATTATCATAAGGTGAAAAAAAAATTTCGCTCCACCCTAGTACACAGTGTATAACGAAAATATACGTCGGGTAATAAATCACTAGATGGAGTGACGGCCTGGTAAGATATGTGGGAAATGGATGGATGCAGGTGGCTCAGGACCGTGCTTAGCCTCATTGTTTGGGGGAGACCTACGTTCAGCTCTGGACATGTGAAGATAAATAAAACTCAAGAAGTGCGGGTTATAATTTAAAAAAAAATGTATTAAAATGTGGTCATTCGTTCTTTATTTTACAATATTTTTACGATTCTGTTTACATCTTATTTTCCATGTTGTTATGACAATGAATCCTCGACATATAGTTTATCGGTCAGGGACTTTGGGCAGGGCAATGGCAAATTCAAGGTCGTCTGTATTCGTAAAAAATTAAACAGAGACATATGTGCCTAAAAACTACACTCGTCAGAGATCGCAAAGTTTTGGTATACTTTGCATATATTTTTATTATTTTTCTGCGTCGTTATTTATATAATTTACTTTACTCCAATATTCCACAATATGAGTGAATAATAAGTTTAACGAATGCCAATGACTCCTAACCCAACCAGTTTGATGTATATAAAAATAAACGATAAATTGGGTAGCAGCAACGAAAATGTACTCCAAACCGAATTCCGAACACGACGACCAGTCTCAACGGAGACTAGCCATCTGCGCAGGACAGGATTATAGTGCCCAAGTGTATGCACAAGCACAGGTGCACTCTCTATTCCCTCATTCTCATAGTCCAATGGGACGGTAATTCTACACTACCGGAGAGAGATCAGGCATAGGACCAACGGTTTTACGTGCTTTCGAACGCATGGGTGTAAAACAACGCTAACTTACTGACTCCCGGCTGCCACTGAGAATTTCTTGACAGTAAAACCCAATAGCTGATTTCGGTTCAACCTGGGATTCGAACCCGGTACCTCTTGATCAGCAATCAAGTTTACAACCACTAGATCTACGAGGCAGTGCTGGTACAGGTACTTAGGTAAGTACTGCGTAGTTCCAGTGACTAATCACTTTATTTGTAAACTGAAAGTGTCAGATGAACTTGCACTCCACCTGACGGTGAGCGACTACTGCAGCTCGTGGAAACATACAAACAACTTCAAACAAAGAATGTAATAGATGCGTTGTCACCTCTGAGGACTAAGATGGAATGCTTCACAGCCTGTGTGTTACGGGTTGAACTCGAGTTGCTCGCATTCTGTGTAACTTCTTGAGTTCTTTAATTGAGTTAAAAATATGTCCCGGCGGTGAACAAATCTGTGTTGCTTGCTAACGAGTGAAATTTACAGAAAGGACTTAAACCTTTGGCTACCACGGCTGACCTAGAGCTACCTTGAAGTATAGTTTTTTTTTTTCATAATATAAAGGTATCAAATTAGCACACAATTCACCTGATGGCAAGTGGCCCAAAAATATGTATATTTATCCTCGATTAAGAATCAAAATGCAGATACGTTGTCACCCCTGAGGGTAGAGATGGAATAACTTGTTTCCAGTAAATAGGCACGTCGGTTCTCTAGACTCACTATACGAAATATAGTAGAGTTAAGTTGTTATTTTACCCTGGTATTTCGTTCTACCCTCGTCCCGCCGACTCATTCGTGCTACAACCATAATATAGCTGCAGAAAGGCTCTACCACGTACAGATACTGTGTTGTTACTTCGCTGTTATATACGTATGATTGACAATATATCGCCTTACAGATGCGTGGTGCCGGAGTGCGAGGCTGCTAACAGCACGGAGTACAATCCATCGTGGCTGGCAGGCGCTCTGCCGACTGGGGAACAGGAGAAACGGTGCTACAGCCGCGCCCCCCTAGACGATCAGCTTCCGTGCCAAGATGGTGCCTTCACCGAAGAGCTGCGCGCCTGTGATCATTGGCTCTACGCATCTAATGACACCATTGTTGCCGAGGTAACTTATGCTAGGCTGTATGAAAAAATATTTCTTTGTCTTTGTTATGTACCGTTATCGTTACGGCCTTTAAAAGTCCACTGCTGAATATAGGTCTCGTCCATAAATTACTTCATAAGGGTGGCATTTGCCTAGATTACTAAATGTATTAAAAGTTACAACTTAATTCTCTCATCTCAAAGGTAAGGAAAAAAAAGAAAAAAGCCAAGGACTTGCAAGTAGGGTCGTAGGTGGGCCACCCGTACTTTATAACAAAGTATTGTTATTTCGAGCAAATGTAGCTACGTTTGCCCGAAATATTTTATCTCTACATAGTATAAAACAAAGTCTTACCGCTGTCTGTACGCTTAGATCTTTTAAACTACGTAATGGATTTTAATACGGTTTGCATTAATTGACAGAAAAATTTAAAATAAATGTTTATATGTATAAAATCTGCATTTTTGTGCCTGTGTGATGTGACTGAACTCCTCCTAAACGGCGGGACCGATTTTAATGAAATATTGTGTGTATGATTAAGTTGATACGAGAATTGTTTAGATTTACAATTAGACCCAGTAGTTGGAACTGTTGTCGAGGTCCAGAAATCGCTTATACGGATCGCTAGTTTCTTCATACTTTACACGAGAAAGTACGTAAAAGTACCTATTCTATAATAAGTAAAATGAAAATAGGGGAACTATTATCATTTTGCTTTCTTATTTTATTTTTACTTATTGAATGTCAATTTTTTTTTAATTTACTACTGGTTAAAAAATTACCTCTGTCCTGGAGAGAACCAGCAAGAAACCCAGCTGGACTTTTTTAAACATGTTTCAATTTACGATAATTTTGTTTTTTTTTTTTGTTTGTACAAATTTTAAATGAGTTTTAATAGAACCAGCATGGTTGCCACCACCACCTCATTCCCAGGGGTTTTTTTCACTTATGTATTATTTGATATTATAATAACCCTTTTTGTACAATTCTTCGTTAATAAAACATTTACACTTATTTATTGACAAATTTTGTATATTTTCTGAGATTTTATTGTAAAAGCGTATACATTGCCCCATAAATTACTTATTCTGTGGAGGTCTAGTAACTGGTATTCCAAGCCTATGTTTATTCCTAGTGTTTAAAGAACGAACATCTTTATTCTTATCTAAGCTATTTATGTTTTTATGTACATACACTACATTTTCATAAATATATTGCGATGCCAAAGTTAATATATTTATTTGCAAAGACATTTAAGTAAGTATTCCTATGTATTTAAATTTCTTTGTTTATTTCTTTAAATTTTTCTCTAAGGGACTCATTACAATGTTAAAATTAATTGACTGTCGTTTGATTGTGAAAATTAAATAGTATCATCAGCAAATAATACTATATCGTGATTGTCTCCTATCAGATAATGTAAGTCATTAACATAGACTAAAAACAGAATCGAGTCCCGAGGAACGCCCATTGATACTATTGATCCGGAGGAACCTTTACCATTGATAACGACTTTTTGAATTCTATTATTTAAATACGAAATAATAAATCTAAGTGCATTATTTTTGAAACCGTAATGTCGGTCGTAGTTTTCTAACTAACATCTCATGACGAACACAATCAAAAGCCTTGGATAGATCACAAAAAATACCTAAGGCATCTTGTGAACTCTCCCAGGCATTAAAAATATATTTCATAAGCTCGACACCTGCGTTAATCGTCGAGCGAGCCCTTATGAAACCAAATTGATTTTATAGAGTAATTTATTTTTACTAAAAAAAATTAACAATTCATGTAAAATTATCTTTTCGATAATTTTACTGACAGTAGAATAGAAATATTACAGAATTAGTACATAAATAGGTCTAAAATTAGCGGGGTACAATGTACTACCAGATTTAAATAAAGGTATTAATTTACTATGCTTCATCACCAGATTCGATACTAGTATTAAAAGTAGTAACAAGATGAGATGGAATTAAATAACTGTGGACGCAATAACTGTAACGGAAATCTCCCATAACTCTGCGGTTTTCTTTACATCAAGGGTTTTGAAATATTTTACAATATCTTGTGATAATACTTTTTCCAATCTAAATTCTTTAAAAAAAACTATATCAGTGAAATATTTCTCAAACACCGCTGCGACTTCTTGATTTAATCTAGTCAATTCATTATTAATTTTCAATTGATAATTTGTGTTACGAGGTTTGTCTATACCGGTTTCTCTATTAATTATTCTCCACGTCATTTTATTTTTATTTTTACCGGTCTTAATTTTGTTGCTTATATGTAAAGATTTGGCTGTGGACACTGAATAAAAAATAGTGTTACGAGCTTGGGGTTCGAGACAATTAAAAACTGCCGATTGAATTACCAAAATTGACACTTTAATCACACAACACTAATTACAATCTAAAATCACACTAATAATAAAACACAGTTCGCCGTTATTTCGCTTCGAAGTATTCTCTTGTATCGCCAATTCAATACTGCTTCGGTCGTGGTCTATACCGGCCTTATATAGGGCCTCAGATAGTTTCCAGAATCTTCTACTGTAGCGACATCTAGAATGTTCGAGTACATATCGGTCCCGAAATTTCTGGAAGGATCTTGACTCTCCTAGTTCTGCTACTCGACACTAGAGGGCGCTAGTGTACCTAGTGTTGCCATGTACAAGACATTAATAGTGGCGCGCAACACTGCCCCCTCCTAAGACATGCTCGTCCCGAGCATTATTGGCCCCATAATAACGCGCCAGTCGATCTACATGGACAATCTTAGGAGTACCTCTGGCACCTTTCTGTATCCGGTAGGTTACGTCATTGATCCTTGTCACAATCCGGTACGGTCCGTCCCATATAGCTTGAAGCTTAGGAGATTTCCCTTTGCTGCGAACTGGATTGTGTAACCACACTAGAGAACCTTCATCAAACCCCTTGTTGTTTATTTTGCGGTCATACCGTGTTTTCATCTTCTCAGACGTTTGCTGGCCCGTCTGTCTGACGTGCTCATAAATGTCATTCATTTTGTTCCGCAAGTCATTTGCATAATCGGTTATACTGCGTAGGGCATCTGGTGGTATTCCGGTGATCAGGTCTGCAGGCAGCCGTAATTCTCTCCCAAAGTTTGCGAAAGCTGGCGTCAATGATGTACTTTCGTGAACAGCGCTTCGATATGACAACAAAAACGGTTGTATGTGCCTGTCCCAGTGTCGTTGCCGTTTTTCCACAACTTTTGCCAGGTACCTTTCCAATGTCTGATTAAATCGTTCTACCATTCCATCAGATTGTGGGTGTTAAGAAGTTGTTCGTGTTTTATGAGTACCCATAACTCTGCAAGTTTCCTGGAATATTTGAGACTCGAAATTCCTTCCTTGATCGCTGTGAATCTCTAAGGGTACTCCAAAACGACAGAAGACTTCATGAACTAGTTTATCTGCAACTGTTGAAGCTTCTTGATTTGGAATGGCGAAGACTTCTGGCCACTTAGTGAAGTAATCCATCACAACCATGAAATACTTGTTATCACTTTCACTTTCCGGAAACGGCCCCGCAACGTCAATGGCTATCCTCTCCCATGGTGCACCAACATTGTACAATGTCAATGCGCCTCTACTACGAATTTGAGGTCCCTTTACAGCCGCACAACTTGTACATTTGCGGCACCAGTCCTCGACATCGTCACGACAGTGGACCCAGTAAAACCGTTCTCGGATCTTCAGGAGAGTTCGTTTAACTCCCAGGTGGCCTCCTGAAGAACTACTATGGTACAGTTGTAGAACATCCGGTACTTTAGCCTTAGGGACAACCATTTGCAAATGACATCTGTCTCCCCGACCATTTTCCCATTTACGGCACAGGACTCCATCCTGAATCAGCAAGCTGTCCCATTCGGCCCAATAGCTTTTCGTGGTCGAACTCATTGCTGAGACGTCGCTCCACTTGGACTTAGGAGCACTGGCCTTCATCCATTCCAGAATCGGCTTAATGTCCGAATCTTCCTGCTGTGCATGTTGTAGGCTGTCCTTCCATTCATTGCTGAGCTGGTCTGTCCTGAATATCCTCGCAGATACTACTTCTTTACCCTCTTGCCTAGTACAATGCTTGCAATCTTCAGGGCAAGGTCTTCTTGACAATGCATCTGCATTGCCATGAGATTTCCCGCTGCGATGTTCGATCACAACGTCGTATTCCTGCAGTAGTTCAATCCATCTCGCAACTTGTCCTTCCGGATTTTTGAACTGCAATAGCCATTTCAGTGCAGCATGGTCAGTTTGTAAGTGTAATTTCCGCCCTAGAAGATATTTGCTAAAATGCTGCAAGGACTTTACCACAGCAAGCAATTCCCGTCTTGTGACACAATAGTTCCTTTCCGGCTTTGACAACGACTTGCTGAAGTACGCTAACACAATCTCTTGATCACCATTCCGTTGAGACAACACACCGCCAAGTCCTATATCACTTGCGTCCGTGTCAACTATGAATTCCTTGCCCGCATCAGGGTACCCCAAAATAGGTGTTTTGCACAGACGGTTCTTGAGCTCCTGGAATGCAATATCGCAACTTTCATCCCAGCAGAATTGTCGCTTCTCCTCGGTTAGCTTGTACAGAGGTTTGGCTATATCTGCAAAGTTCTTCACAAATCGCCGATAATAAGAGCACAAACCCAAAAATGCTCTAACCTGTGTCTTGTCTTTTGGAACCGGCCACTCCTTGACAGCGGCAATTTTTTCTGGATCCGTGCGGATACCTTCTTCCGACACTACATACCCCAAAAAACTAACTTGCCGTTTGAATAGTGAGCACTTCTTTGGACTCAACTTGAGGTTGGCACTCTGGATCTTCATGAGCACGCGTTCCAGGTTTTGAAGGTGTTCCTCAAACGTACGGCCTACGATGATGATGTCATCCAAATAGACCAGACAGGCATCTCCAATTAGCCCGGTAAGTACAAGCTCCATCAATCTTTCAAACGTTGCTGGAGCATTGCACAATCCAAACGGCATGACTTTAAATTGC